GGCCGAGGCTGGGCTGCGGGAGGCGGCCGGGCGGCCCCGAGCCTAGCTAGGGCGACCAAAACAAAGGCAGCATCCGGGACTGGGTGGATGCAAACAACCATGAAAGACTGGGTTCTCTCTCTCCCCGGCTCTGCTGCTGCCGCCGCCGCTGCTCCTCCTCCTCCTGCCGCCGCCAGGAGGGCTCCTCTGTGAGGGGAGGCAGGGGCGCAGCTGCTGGGCGTGAATCCGAAAGGTGAGAGCCAGGGAGCCAGAAGAGGGGGCGGGCAGGCCACGAAAATGTCCTCGGCCGTGGGGCCCCGCGGTCCTCGCCCACCCACGGTGCCTCCCCCCATGCAAGAGCTGCCCGACCTGAGCCACCTGACCGAGGAGGAGAGGAACATTATCATGGCAGTGATGGACCGGCAGAAGGAAGAGGAGGAAAAAGAAGAAGCCATGCTCAAGTAAGCCACCCCCAGCCGCGCCATCCGTGCCTCCGTGCCTCCATCGGTCCATTCACCACTCACTCACCCAAGCCTCTCGGCTGAGTGTGGGGGAGGGGCGGGCGAGGGTGCTGGGTGGGGGGGCGGAGGCGCCCGCCTTGGGGCCAGGGGCGCGGGGCTTGAGCGGGGAAGAGATTAGGGGGACAGCAGGAAGGAGGGGATGCCACCGAGCGGGGATCCCAGGAGCCAGGAGAGAATGGGCTGCAGAGGAAGATTGGGTGGACAGGGACCACCTGAGGGTGGGGTATGCAGGAGCTGAGGAGAGCTGATGCCACCCAGGTGGAAGGGCTCTGGGCTGGGAACAGGTTAAGGGGCAGGGGATGAGTGGAAGAACGGGGAGGTGGGATGAAGAGGTGCTGAGAACAGCTCCTCTTCTCATCTTGGAGTTGTTTAGGAGGTTGGGGTTACCCCAGTGAAGGGTGCCAGTATTTATGTAAGAAAAAATGCTTATTTTAGTGTTCATTTTGGTATTCATTCATCTCCAGATCAAGGTTGGGTCTTTTTTTGGGCAGTTGCCATCTTTGGTAACCTGCCTACCCAGCTTCTCTTTAAGCTTTTAGTCACAGTCTTCTACACAGAATACCTGTGTGAAGACACATTCTCTTACCCATATACAATGCCATCGACAATGCAAAGTTTTTAATAATGGGAGAACCTGATGGGGACTCTGGCCCGAATAAACTAGAGGTTCCTCTTTACTGGTTTCCAAGAGACCTCTGGGGCCTGCTCAGTTCCTGGTGGAAGCAGTACGACAGGGGATCACATATTTGCACACATCCCCTTTTCTTTAAAGCCGGTCAGCCCTTCAAGGGCTCTCTGTCTAGTGCCCCATTTTCCTGTGTCTGGGAAGGGGATGGGGCTCGTTTGCTGGTGGTGCAGGGGTGTGTGACAGCCTGGGCTGCTGCTTATCATATTCTCAGACAAGACTGCTTACAAGGTGCTGGCATCCAGACTGGGTTTTCCTTGATCCTTAGCATCACCCACAGAGTGGAGCCACAGGGGACTTCCACCCTGCCTTCCCCTGGGAGGTCTTCTCGTATTCAGGAAAGTTTTCAACTTGAGGGTGAAGGAATTTGGAGACCCTGATTGGGACTAATTCCTTGGTGTCTCCCATTTAGCCCAGAAGGTGTATGTGAGGGCAGAGGATCGGCAGGAAGAGCCAAAGGGAACCTGTTGCATCTGGAGTTAGCTGAGAGCAAAGTAGGGGCAGGGAGGGAACAGGGGTGACACACAGGCACAGAACACACCCACCAGGGCCTCCCCCGCCACCCTGAAGGATTGCCTCTTGAAGAGAAGATGCTGCCACTGGAGCTTTCTTCTGCTTCCTCTCAGTGCAGCAGTGCCTGGAAGGAGAGGAAGGGAGGGAGGCAGCATTCACAGACTGATGGGTCTCCACCAGTGTAACTGCCACCCAGATGGGAGAGGGGCATGTTGAGCAAGCGCTATGGGTGCTGGGTCACAGCAAAAGAGTAGAAATCCGGTCATTCTTGCCCTTTGGTTGTAGACTCAGGAAGAGTCCATTAACTCGGAAGGCTAGCGCTGGCCTCATTCTATAAGCAGCAGGTTTCTGGATTCCCTGCTCCTTCTCATCCAAAAAACAAATACTTGAAGCCTGCCGGCTTGAGGGAAGCAGAACCCTCGTTAATCTGCTGCCTGTCCCCAGTGCAACAGTCACATCCCTGGTGCTGCAGGCTTCCCCTCTTCTGACACTGGAAGTAATGGATTGTGTCTGATGGTGCTGCTGTCTGTGTGTCTGGTTGTCAGTCCGTCTGTCCCCACTGGTTGCAGTCCCTGCCCCCTGTCCTGGACACCTTTTGTGCTGGTCAGGATTTACAGGTTGCTCCCGTTCCTTCTGGTGCTCACTGCAGACAGCAGGTGGATGGAGGCCTCCAGCAGCCAGTGGAACCCATGGCTGCCCCTTGACAGGGTCCGACTAGGCAGGGGAAGGCACAGTGCAAGTAGCGACCATCACGCCCCTCCGTTGCTGTTTCAGGCCGGTGGAGAGCGAGAGATTTTAAGTGGGAGAGGGTGAGTTTTAGGACAGAATTCCAAATCTGCTAACTGCCTAAGGATAGCATGATAAGACTGTATGGGCTTCTATGGACAAATAAAAATGAAGAACACCGTCCAACTGCTCATGTCTAAAACATCTTTCCCGCTGCTATTCCTGTGACTGCTTTGCACGAGCTTGCGGATACTGTTCCTTTATTGCAAGGATTCACAAAATATCGCAGGATGTGACGCTGTTATACAACAGCCCTCTATCATCCCAGACCTCTGCGTTAACTTTATCAATCAGCCTCCTCTGTTAATGTCTTGGCCTTTTGTGCAGTGGCAGATTGGTGAGTGTTTTGGAATCCCGGTTTGCTGCCGTGTAAGTGTGTCATATGGTCTGCAATTAGAGGAACAGTGCTGTACTTTTTTCTAGAGGGCACTTTGTGTCTTAAAAACTGGTGATTGTAGAGGCTATTCAGATGACACATATATGTGGGAACTTAAGGACACAGTCATAAGTGGTGGCCTTTTCTCAACTTTGCATAAAAATAGATTGGAAAACATCATGCTTTTCACAGGGCTTTGAAGTATTTGTGAAATCAGAGATAAGTTTTTATGGTAATGCTTGGTCCATCATATCACACATCTGAGAAATTACTTTCACAACAGGCCCTACAGAGCTAAAGTTCTGGTCACAGCAGTTAGAGTTAAAGTTCACTTTTGTCATCACTGCAGAACCATCACCTTGAGCTACCTACTGTACGTGCTGTCCCTTCACAATGTGTACGAATGTGTAAGGCGTTAATAGAAGATAGAAAACTGATGCGTGAATATGGGAAAGATAAACAAATATAGATTAATGTATATTTGTGTAGTTTCATCAGCCTTGATTATAAATTACTACTTGAATTTGGTCTTGATAATATCTTTAAATATGTGTAAATGGAAAGAATAATCAAGCTAACTTATACCTCAAGATTTCAGAAAAATCTTACGCAAAATTATAAGTACTTAATCACAAAAATAATTCATTTTGTTGGCAAAGTGCACTAATTTTAAATACCATTGCCATATAACTAGAAATAGTTGACCCCTGCAAATAATTCTTAATGACTGATTTAATTATCTGCAAATCAGAGGTCTTTTCTTAATCTTAGTAGGATTTTTGGTGTGTGTGTGTGTGTTCTGGAGGCTTTTTGAAACCTAACTTCCTCAATGAATACTCTTTCAAGTAACTGTCACCAGACACCATGAGCCAATATATTACATGAGTTGAAAACTGCATTATCTGAGACCTAAATCAGAGAAGATCTCATTAGATCTAAAATCTTATTCCTTTTATATAAAAGCTTCATAGAGAAAGGAGCCACAGAATAGTAAGAGAAGAGAAAAAATAGAGGCAGAGAGTTAAAGGGGTTTGAGGATGGGAATTGAGAACCATATTGAAATATTTAATAAAACTACTAACATTTATTGAGCATTTACCTCATGCTGGCCATTATTCTAAGTGGTTATTGAATCAAATGCCAAATAGTTGAACTATGCTCAAGTTTTAATACATGCCTATTTGGATTCTCACAACAGCCTGTGCAGGGGGTAAGTCAGGTCATATAATCCTCAAATCTTCATCCTAAACTCAGAGAATTCCAGTAATACCCTAAGCTAACTCACATTACATGGCCCTATCAGGATTCAAGCCCAGACCTTTTATTCTAAGTCCAAATATTTTCCCACACACTGCACTGTCCTTCTACCAAGAAAAAGCTTGCATTTCATCTACCTTTTCCTTAAATTAGTTTGTGCTCTTTCCTCAGTTTCAGAGAAGTGGTTTGGCAAAAGATTAGGTTGACTTAGATCAGCTGCTGATAATAGGAGGGCCTGGAGCTTCACTCACAAGAGTTTTCCTGTGGATTGAGGACAAGGGAATTTTCTCCAATTTGAAGAAAATAAAAAGCATCATTGTATGGTGGAAAGGCCATTAACTTTGGATCCAAGAACTTTGGGGTTCTAGTTCTAATTCTGACACTTATTGTGTAAATATGGGCAAGACAATTAAATGGGGATTCTGTGAGGTACTATTTTACTTATAAATTCTGCAATTCTTGGTGTGAAATTGATTTATAAAAAGTGTTGGCTTTAGACTGCTCTCTCTTCTTTTTTTAATTATTTTTTTTTATTATTATGTTCAGTTAGCCAGCATATTCTCCCTCTGTTCTTTGCACTGACTTTTCACACATCCATAGTATCTACTTCCTTCATGAAAGGAGAAAGAAAGTTGAAGTAGAACTCTTATAACTTCAGTTTTTCTTTCTCCTTTTTCTCTTTCTAACCAATTATGCTGTTGTGGCCTCAACTGTATCCATAAGACTCAATATGAAAGACCACAATTAGCAAATGGGAAAAGAAGGAAAAGTAGATGGGGCATTTGGGGAGGAGTGCAGATAGAGTCCCCATGGATGCAAGTATCATGTTTTCATTGGGTTTGCAAAGATTTTCATATCTTACACCTGAAAATATTATCTCATGTTGTTGAGGCAAGGATGGGTAAGAAGGAAAAGAAAGAAGGCAAATAGTATTGAGGAAACGCTGCTAAAACATGAGCTGGTGTCTACCATTTTTGAGATGTTGTGTTAAATAGAAAAGAAGGAAAAACTCACCATTTTACTTGGACTCTAGTCTCTTTTACACTACATTTATGGATAGGGTTACATTTAGAGAAGGTTAATCCTGAGCTCTATTGAAGTTTTCTTCTTTCAACAAAAACTTATCTTAGTAAATGCATGTGCCCAGGACTGAATTCCCAAATGTTCCAGAGGAAATATGGAATAGGGAAGCCTTAAAAAATGAAAGACATGAGAAGCTATCAAAGAGAATGGAGGGAAGAGACATAACTATTAGTTCACATTTTTGCTAACATGTCTTGACTTTCTTTTAACTTGTATGTATTCTTTCTTAACCAGAAGTGA